GGGGGGGGGGGGGGGAGTAGTTATATCCATTGCCCCATAAAATTCATGGGTCTAAAATATGAAATTCCCGAATTAATGGAAATGGAAACGACAATAACAACTTCTATATAAGGCTACCTTTACTGCAACTGTAAGTATAACAAACCCCTGATCCTCGGTCTCCAGCCCGAACATCAGCTTCAAGCACTCTTCCCAAGGGTCCAGCAGCCGCACTCAAACCAGCCCCAAAAGAAAAATGCATGCGACTAGTGAACGTCTTCACAGCTTTTGAATCACGAAGCACAACTATAAAATCAGTCAACTCGCCCCCAACCTGTTCCATGATTGATAACAAAGATCGAAAAGAAAGTTCAAATGTTATTCTCTATTATGATCACTTTAAGGAAGGAAGCATTAGTTAAATGGACTTAGTTTTCCATTATCCACTTGGGCCATATCCATCCAATGAAATGATGAACAGTGCAGAAGAGATTGGGGCCCACCTGAATGAATCACGAAACTAATGGAGGACCCGACTCTCACTCAATCATCATATCTCATTTCATTATCAGGTTATGAACCCGAGGGACAAGGGACACGATAGTATAATTTCCCTATCATCGTTTATCATCATCAGACATCACCATCATCATTTATAATTACCGAACCCAAAGAATTATTAAAAATTCCTTAAAATTAATAGGGGTTAAGTGATGTGCCAGTATGCATGTATTCACCTGCGCCCCCCATCCCATGCCAACAGAGAATATTGCAGATGGAGCAGACCAAGACCCATCTGACCGTCTTGCCACTACTAAACCAGTTCCAAGTTTGTAAGTTAGAAGCATGCCTGCCTTTGCCACAGTTAGAATAGCCAGACCTTTGGCTGCTTTTAGGACAGTAAAAGGTACGAACCTGTCTGGGTTTAAAACCCCAATCTGTAAATGCCAAAGTGAAATAACGGTTAGATGCAACACAAGGTTTAAACCTAAATATCGAAGACCACTGGGAAGTTTTAGAAGATTTTTATGAGACTTGGCAGCAACAAAAGTTGAATATACTTTAATATTGTTAGGAAAGTGCAAGTGTACTGTAGTCCCACAGGGTCATGGCCATCAGATGAAATGAAATGCTGACCAAGACAAAGAGGCGTACACCCATGAGGTCACAACTTTCCGAATAGGTCCCGCTGTCTCTCCATTATTATACATGCCATACGATAGTCATGGTCCCAATTGACCATTGTTTTCCATGGTAACTGAACTACCCAGTAAAACTCTCACTAGAAAAATATTATAATTCACACACGGCTTAAAAAGTGGGGAGATTTTTTAGGTACCTGGCAGTAACTTCTAAGAGCATTTGCCGACTTGTATATCTCATGCTCCATGGACAAACCAACTGGCAAGTTCAACCATCCCCTCATGCAAGTCCAATTCATAACATCATGCTTTGCAACTTGTGAGGCATTGCTGATGGAGTTGATCAATACAGTCTGCAATGGATCTAACCTCTCATAACAAGTGTCACAAACTCTTTGAGGCTCTCTTTCTCTGAACTTTACAGGCATTAGACACCTCCCTGATGAACAAGCCCTGCAAAATATGCCCCCACAAAACCGGCAGTGATGCCGCCCACGAGTAAGTGGGGTGAAAGGCAATGAACATTGCATACAAGTTGTTTCAAAGCTGTCAGGCAACCACTCAGGAGGCTCAGCTTCCAAAATTACCCTACATGCATTATATCCATGCTCATCTGGATCAAGCAATGGTGGGGCACTTGGTATATAAACTGTAGACTGCAAGAGGCTTTCACCATTCTTCTCAGACACCAAGAAAGACACATTGGAACCAGAAGCAGGTTGGGGTTCCAAGCCTTTGAGAAGTGGATTTTTACCTACCAAAATCGTATATAGGCCCCTTAACACATTTTTCAAATTCACTTCAGGAGCGCGGCTAGATCGCAAAGGTGCAGGATCATCACTTATATAAGATTCTTCATCCTGGAAATCAGGATCATGGGAGAATTGATAGAAATCATCTTTGTAATACTGAGGCACTTTGACACAACCATGCTTCTCAGTTTCCTTTTTACCATAATGGCCATCATCATTGTTTTCAGTCAGCTTTGAAACAATAGCTGGGAGAGGACAAAAGACTCTTCCTCCACAAGCTTCCATGGGCTTCTTCAGCTTGCAAGTTAAGCTGCATTACAAACTGGTTCAGTCAGTCCATGGATCACCAAAGAATCCAGAATGAAGAAATTACCAGATCAATCGAAAAATGGGACTAGACAAGAGAATGAATCAAAAGATCAAAGAAATTATCAACATGAGCAACTATGCACAAATGTTCTGATTTTATTTTGTGGGTATATAACCACACAGACATATACAAAATGCTACCAGTTCCACACAGATGTAACCTACCGAGTTTGTAAAAATAATAAAAAACCAAAAACAAAGAGGATTCAAAAGTGAACAAGGCGGAAGAGTTTCCAAATAATAGAAAAAGGAAACCCAGTTCAAGAGAATTTGTATGATTAGAAGAGAGGAAGGATGTACTGAACTTTCTTGGGGTGATTCTACCCTTTATACCACGTCAGCTGCCAAGAAAAACCTACGTGTCCTCCTGTTATGTTTGAGAGATTTCAAGAATCTAACATTAGGTACAGTTTTGTACCATAAGAACTCTCTAGAGTCTAGACCCTATAGCAGGTTAAGAATACGGAATATCTATGTCCAGGTTAATATATATATTAATTCTAACAAATATGGCAATATTTCTAAACATGATTTGAGACTTACTTCCAGAAAACAGCAGTATCATATTGTGTCTACTAATTACAATCCCTGAATGAAAATTACAGGGAATGAGCTCTATCGATTAGTAATAAATGAGAAAGGACAATTCAGATAAACTTGCTTTTTCCACACAATATCAATTTATTCAATATTCATAAGCAGAACATTTTTCTTGCAAATTGCAAGTACTGGAACCCAGCAATGATCATACCAGGAAAGAAATTTTGGCTATGCAAAGCAGGTACTAGATGTAAAGCTGGCATTCCAAAATATTTTTGGCTATGCCAAGCAGTTACCCCAAAGAAATCATGAGTCAATTCATATATACCCAGGTATGTCAGTGTATAAATGTATATGGATTTATGGCAATAACTATATGCATGCTTCTGTATCTATTATCATCCTTTTCCTTCTTCTTTTTTTTTTTAAATGATTTTTTGTTTTTTGGGTGGGGGTTAGATAAAACGAATCTTGGAAGTCTTGGCACAATCATCAACACCAAGCTATCAAACCAGGTGCTCAAATCCCAATTATCATCCATGTATGAGCGCGTATATATGGCATATCTTTTAAGATTACAGGGATACCGGATACTGTGAGCTAGATCTGATGGATGTCTTTCCCTATATGTATGAGAGAATCTTAAACAAGGGGGCATGAAACAATTCATCACTCACATGCTGATGATCAAAGAGGCAGATTAAATGAGGGATTTACCCATGTGGGTAGTATGCATAAGATATAAACCTAGAAGTCTAAAAGTCCATAATTCCTCCATCATATGGAAACTTTTAAGAGGCACAAGATATTGTTGTGATCCTTTGTTAGCCCAAGAGCATCAGAAATCAAGTTACATGGAGGCGAAGCTTTGAGCATATAGACCACATAAATTAGGGTCTATGGATAGTTGCTTGCATAAAGGCAGTTTGGTGCTCAGTGGAGAAGGTGCACTATGGAATTTGTTGTTATCTGATTTTGGTCTTGCATGGCAAATGGTTGCTAAAAGGTTTTTAGGCAGCTCTGGACAATTAAAGCAAGTTGACAACCTTTCTCCATTTATTTACCCTCATCTCAGATATATTTAGGCTTTTTATCATAGGAAATGCAACACTGATTTCCTCCAAGTAGTTTAGTGCATGTGAAGAGATCAGATAGGTAATTCGATTCTAGACTATTGAGAACTTTCTATTATCCCATGAAGTCCCCCATCCATATGAGATAACATACGATTTGTTCTCATATTCAACAATGCAGTCTCAGACTAGAGGAAAAACTAGTGGAAGAACTCGGATATGGCCATATGGGGATCGGACTAGATAAAAATTTGCATCTATTCTACTTATCCTGGCTTCTGAACCATTCAACAGTGAAGGCTAACATATTTTCCTCAGAATTTTGCAGTCAGACTACGCAATTATACTGTGATGTACAAAAGCAATCACCAGCAATGTGATGCTTCTAGCATTTTTTTTTTTTTTTTTTGAGAAATATCCTTCTAGCAAGAGTTATACTAGAATTTCAGGAACAAATAGGCAATTCATTTGAACCCACCAGCAAAACAAAATCTCTTAAGTACAGTGATAATGTAAGCCAAGTGCACAACTTGAATACATAATCCCCCTCAAGAAGTTTTAAAACAATTGGAATGATATTCTGGTCATTTTACTGTAACCAGAAAATATTTCGGTCAATTGAGAGGCATTCAAGCTGATACAAGTTAATTATTGGTCCTCAAATCATAAGAGATTCTTTAATCCCTCTCCAATGGTTAATTTTTTGTTAAGAATTTTAAATTTGGTCAGAAAATTTGCGAGCAAATTTTGTAGCTCCCAATACCCATGATTCAGCAATCACCTATAAATATCCTAACTATCATATTAATAAATAAATAAATAAAAAAAGACCTTCAAGACTATTACTTCTCTTATATGTCCATTTTTTTGGTTTGAATGAATTCAAATAAATAATCGAGGTCTAAAATTCCAATAATTCCAGGTGATACATCTCGACAGACACCACATGAAATTCGCAATTTAACATATGTCAACAAATTTCAGCAGAGTTCTTCTCAGGAGCATCAGGTCGATTGCCTGAGTAAAAGTTAATTCAATACATTAAATTTCAATCCTCATGAGAAACAATTGATGTGAAATCCTCCAAACGAGACGAATTTGATCAACAATCAAAACAATAAATTTTCTCTTTGAACATTAACAAATAACAAAAATTTCACAAGAGAAACGAAATCCCAATTCATTGATTACTTCAATATCTTACATGATAAGAGAACAGAAAATAGAAGGAAAAATAAAACCTTATCAAGAGCATGAGAACCTGGAAAGGAAATCTGGACGCAAGTAAAGTGAAGGATCAAATAATACCTGAAATTATGGTGAATAATCAATAGAAATGGTGGGAATCGATTGCAGAACCAGAGATATTAGGGTTTTCTTCCTCGTGAGACCTCCACGAATCCAGCTATCGAAGATAAGAAAGGGTTACAGGGCCCTGAAGAAACCTGAGAATTTATGGACTTCTTAATGAGAAAAATAATGTTCAGATGACCAAGTTTGTCCCTTTATTTACGAAAGTAGTCCTTATGGTCCTTCTCCGTTTTAAAGCTAGTGCTCTCTTTTTCCTTTTTATTTTTTTATTTTATTGGGAGGATTAATGGACGGTGATGGGATGAAATTTATGGTGCTTTTCAATGTTTTTTAAAAAAAGGATCGATGACTCATATCGTTCATTTGAGAAATTGGTTCGAATCGGAATTGATAGGATTCATCCTTAAAAAAAAATTACAAAGAGTCAATAAAAATCATCATAAATAATATTATTTGGGTTTTTTTTAAAAATGATGCATTATGAATTTTTATTATCTTACAAAAATAAATAAATATTGAGATTTCAATGCCAGTTTATCACATTGTGGTTGTGTTTTTGCCCATTATTTTATGGGCTTTTGTCTTTCTCTCTCTAAATGAGAGAGGAAATATTTGTGTTGAGGCACGTTTAAAAACAAATCATGAGAGCAATATTTGTTTTGCTCTTAGGAACTCGGTATTTATATATGGGAACAGTTTATATAAGGTTGCAATTTTAAATATAGAATTATAGATGCATCTCAAAAATCTATCGGAAAGATTGCAACCGTATAGAAACCGCACCATATTTAATGTTTGTGATGCGATGAAAGAGAAATTTATGTCTATACCACATTTTGAAATAATGACGTTGTGGCCAAAGAACTAGCTTATAATTTCTTGACTTTAAAGGAAAAATAGAAAGAATTAGGCAATTGCCCCGTTTGTGTATTTCATTACGAAGCTTCCTAACTATGGTAAAACTTATGTCCTACCCTTTTTTTTTTTTCTTTTAATGAGATAAATATCTATGGAGAAAATTATCTTCACCTAGAAAGCTAGAAACCTAAGCATCTATAAAAAAAAAAAAAATATGTTCGTTGTGAATTGTTTATTAAAAATACATAGACATGATATTGATATTTGTCCAATAAAATAGATTTTTAAGACAATACATTCTTATTACAACTACAAAATAGATGGTTTAGATCAAAATTTTGATTCTTGCCCATTATTAGGAAAATGTTCCTACACTTCCCCTACAGCATATAAGATATATAGCTCCTCCCATCCAGCCGTCCAATTTAGATAAAGTGAAACACTGATCATTTGATTTAAATCCGCTACCTCAATATTTTATTTTTAGTTTTTTTTAAAAATTGTATGAATATGAAATTTGGTACATACCATCTTCTCAATAGAACGCACCTAAAATATATTAATTTTTTTTTTGTTAAAATATAATGACCAAAATATCCCTTAAAATTTCAAGGGTATTTTCATTATTTTATATTATTGAAAATATTTTTTACAAGTGCAAGTTTAAGAAAAAGAGTGGATGCCCAAAATCCGGTGTCAAAATATTTTATAGAAAAAAATTAAAAATAAAATACTATAGAGACATGACATTATGATTGAAACCATCTCAACCGTCCATTCAGAATGAACGATTGGATAAAGAAAAATATATAAGTTTTATGCAGTAAGGGAAATATAGAAAGCTGCCCTTAGCGCAACAACTTATTTCCACATCACATTGGATAATTAGTAGGGTATTCTATTAATTGAGAACTTAAACTCACACTCTCTCTCTCAAGATATAAAGATCAACTGACAGATAGAGAGAAAGCAACTATTTATGGGATACTAAATGGATGTGATTGTGAATTCTAGAGAGATAGAGAGATCAAATTTCTTGTAATCGCAATGAAAACTCCATAAAATTTTCTCATTTCTTGTTGCAAAATATTCCTTTGCCGGTGCAGGCCTCTCTGCATCTCTAGAACAGAGGCTTCCATATCACCTACATAAAAGTCGCCAAAAATTTTCTCACACGCTTAGACAAAGGCTTTCCTCCTTTTGCTGCACCAGACCTCATTCTCATCTCCCATTCCCAAACTCCCCAAAGATGGGGGGAGGGAGAGAAGCTTCCCTAAATGCACAATACAATAATTTAACCAAACAATCAATAATCAGAACCTTTCTTCCTCTTCCTTTTCTGTAGCCCAGACTCCCCTCTCATCTCCCCACTACCATTCAACCCTTTCTTCTTCTTATGTGACTTCCTTCTCATCTCTTCATCACCATTCAATCCTTTCTTATTCTTCTTTTTCATTTTCTTCTGTGGCCTAGTCTCCTCTCCGATCTCCTCGCCATCATTCAACAGGTGATCGTACTCCTCAAGACTAGCAAATGGCGATGCACCCGACCTTGCCCCAGACTTTCGCTTATTACCTTTCCTATCCACTTTCTGAGAAGCTTCCATATCATCCTCATCAACATAACTGTCATCATCACCATCACTATAACCACCATCACCACCATCATCATTAGGAAAATCCATGTTACCATCACTATCATCAGCAATTAACTCATCATCCTCCTCCATAATAACCTCATCCAGCTTGTCATAGTCATACTCACCATCAGATACAGTCAGAGATTTCTGGGCGCCAAATTCTGGCTCAAGTAACCCATCAATCTCCTCATCCTCGCTATCATCACCGCCATCCACTTCTTCTACTTCGTCCACTTCTTCAACATCTTCTTCTTCTTCTAAGTCCTCCTCTTCCCCATTATTATCAACTTCAAATAGTTCTCCAGCTTCTTCTCTATCCTTCTTCTTCTTCTTTAGTTTCTTTCTCGAAGAGCTAGTGCTCTTGGTCATGTAGAAGCGGTGGAAGACCAGGTCCTCCGGGGGAACATCTTCCTCAGCAAGAGACAGAATCTCGGGACCAATTAGTCGATTGTTCATCACCAACTGCAAATAGAAGGAAAAAAAGGATCAACTCGTAGAAAGATTAAACATATAATAAAGTACAAGAGAATAATAATAATACCAATAATTCTTCAAAAAAAAAAAAACAATACACTAAGTTGTGTGGAACAATGACCCAGTTATATCAATAGAAACATGCGTAGTACAAAGGGCTATATAATAGAAATCACAGAAAGCCACATGGATGGTAAGTGTTTGCACAAGAGAAAAAAAAAAGGCTCCCAAAAAAAAAGAAAAAGCAAAAAAAAAGAGAGGTTGTAAAATATTACACGAAAAACCTGAAATAAAACAAAATCTAAAATTTCTTTTTGAAATGTTGATGATATTTTTATATAACTACATATCAAAAGATACATTTGTGGGATAGACCAGATGAAAGGGCCAGCTTCAGAGACCATTTACAAGAAATAGTTCCTGAGGAAGCACGCGATATACAGAAAATGGCGCGACAGCAAGCACAATGTACAAGTAAAGGTTAACACACAAGTCAAATAACAGCAAAGCTGTGGAGCCGCACTCCAACAATGCTGCCTAGGTTCCATTGACAAGTAGCAGCTCCCCCATTTGCCAATGCATCTATGCTAGAGTTTGCCTCCCATCGGGTATGTTGCAAGGAGATGTGAATATGCCTGCAAAGAGAGAAGTTATGCCAAAAGATGTAATGGAGTCACTACAGGCATGTAGAGGCACCTGATACCCACGCTATGACATTTTTTTAATCACCTTCTACAACCAAAGATTTCCCCCAAATTCGGGTTGAATCTCTTGATACCTCCTAGGAGTGTTATCGACTCTGCAAAGGTGGAGTCCGCGTGACCTAGGCGGCTAAAGAGAGAAGGATATTGCTATTAAAGTCTCAGAAGAGGCTTGCTATTATGGTCTCTGAAGAGGCCCGAAAGCCAGCAGGCCCCAAGTTTTTGAGTGATAAAACCTCAAAATTAAGCTTTATCTGATCAAAATGAGGATTTATCTGATTTGTATTTGGGGGTCTCCAATGGGATGAGCAAGAAATCCTAGCCACTTCGAGTGTCATGATGTTCCCATAACTGTTAAGGACATCCGATGTGGAGTGGTTTCTCATGATCTTACGGTTACGAGCCCAAAGAATGATCATAGTTTTGATGTGGTCAAATAGAACACCAGGTTTAGCTTCCCTGCCCTCAAAAAGTCCCGCTATGAGTTTCTCAAGACGTTGGGCTCCGGAGGCTGGCATATCGAGTAGAGACACTTGGCACACCAGGAGGTTAGACAATGGTGTGAGGGTGATGCAACAGGGCCGGGAAAGGAATCTAACATTCCATTGTGCAAGCTTGCAGACAAATCTTTCTACAATGAGGGTCCACTGTTGCTTGCTCGTCGTCCCCAGGGGACGACAGAGATATTTTGTGGGCAGATCTTTGCTGCCGCACCCCAATCTGCTTGCCAACATTACAGTCGCTTGGTGGTTTAGAGTGACTGAGTGACCCCCATAAGTTTGGGCTTCGCAAGGTTAAACCTGAGACCAATAGCCACATCTATGAGAAACAACCAAAGGGTATCCGTTTTTTGGGTGGTAGCTCCACAGAAAATGCAAGTCTCATCGGCATATTATAAGTGTGTGATCTGAAACCCTTTAGTAGACCGTTTCGGTACAGTCTATCTACAGACCTGCTGAATACCTTAGCCACTAACGCGAAAAGAAATGGGGACAGGGGTCTCCTCGGTGAAGATCCCTGGAGGAAGGGAAGAAACCCTTGGGGGCTCCTATGACAAGGACCGAGAAGCATGGACCCGAAGTACAGCCTTTGATCAATTGCCTCCATTTGGGCCCAAAGCCCATTTTGGACATGATTTCATCAAGTACAATCCATTCGACATGATTGTAGGCCTTCTCAAAGTCAATAGAGACGATCACCCGGCTTTAGGCTTGATTTCTAGAGTGAATACACTCATGTACGATAACTATCCTGTCAAGCATCTGCCTTTCTTTGTTGAAGGCCCCTTGGTTGGGTGACACGACCTAGTTAAGTGATGAAACAACCCAGTTAAGGGACCTCTTTCAGGCAGACAAGAACTTTCCTAGGATTTTGTAGGAACTATTAAAGAGGCTGATGGGCCTAGAGTCCTTGAGGTCTGTGGGAACCAGCCAGGAAGGTAGCATTCATGGCTTTGTGAATTCTATCTCTCATGGAACTCACTGAAAAATTAAGAATTTCGGACCATGGAGTCCCAGAAACTTGTGAAGAGGGTGACCAGGAAGCCGTCTGGGCCTGGGGCTTTGTCCTGACCCAAATCCTTTATGGATTTAAAGGTTTCTGCCTTGCAGAACAGTCTTTCAAGCCACTCAGACTTGTCTCATGGAAGGAGGAGAAAGGTGATCAACCATGGCAGGGGTCTGAAGGCGGTGCTGAGAAGAGCGTATATGAAGATAGCCCTGTCCAACTCTTCAGGTTGGCTACAGGTATGGCTGCTAACAGAAATTAGGTAATGGTGTTCTCCTACATCATAGATTTGCTGTCATATGGAAGAATTTGGTGTCACAGTCACCACACTTAAGCCATTTGGCCTGGACCTTTGAAACCGAAAGATCTCCTCTTTCTTCAAGACTAGCTGCAAGCTAGTTTGGGTCCTTCTCGCTACTTCATCCTGGGAAAGTTCTCTATTTTTCTATTATGGAGTGCAGTTCCTGGATGAGGGATAAAATGTCAGCTTTGGTGGAACTAAAAATTCCAGGAAGACCTCTGGATTAGAATCTAAAACAGTAAACACACAGGAGGTCAAAGATAGCATGGCCATTTCTAGTGATAGATTAAACATAAAATAAAATACAAGGGGAAACAATAATACCAATAAAAAAGTGACAATAATTTGTGTTCAGTCCACAGAAACGTGTGTAAGCAAAGGGCTATAATTGCGATAGATATCAAAGAAAGTCAAACTGATAGCAAGCATATTGCACAAGAGAAAAATAAATGTTAAAATAAATAAATAAAAGGCAATGCGAAAGAGAAGTGGACAATAAGAAATTTACATGCGCTAAGAGAAATTAAGTGAAAAACTGTAGAAAAAATCTAAAACACTAACACAAAACCCAAACATGCAGGAGATCAAAGAATAGCATGGTCATTTCTAGGATTTATACGGCATATGCCCAAGCAATAAAACAGAGGCATTGCCATTAGATGGAAGCCATTGGTAAGAGCCATCCGGAGAGCAGGTGGAAAGTAACAGTAGCACAGGAGAGAAGAAGAGAGGGCGGGGGAGTGCAGGGAGAGAGAGAGAGAGAGAGAGAGAGATTTTGGATAGTAACACCCTTTTCTCCTTTGGATAATTAAAAATTAGAAATAAAAAATAGTAAAATAAATGAGTAAAACCTTTCTAGCAGGGCCAATTTGAGAGCCACCATGCCATATCCCTTCCGCTTTCTTGTTTGGCTTCGGTTTCTTTTCAACAAACTTGTCAAGGAAAGCTGTTAGAGAAAGATCATTCAGAGGATCTCCATTATAAACAATATTGGCCCCTGAGAGAAGGGTCTTTGCCATTGTTGCCACGGATGGATGCACGTGTGATGCTAATGCCGATAATTCCCACCAACTGGTACGGTCTGCATTGCTGTTGACAGATGCAAAAATACATATCAGAAGTATAGTCCAAACCCAAAATGGAAAAGTATACTGAAATCTTATGGAGAGGGGAAACCTTAGCCCATTTGGGTCATGACCGTCCAAGGAAATGATGGACACTAATGAAGAGTGGTAACGCAGAACACAAGACCCCAATGGTCGGTCTCACTCTCTCCATAATTGTCCACCATTTCAGACTGTCACAAAACAAGGGAGCAATGGGTTTCCCATAATGCATTGCTACAATAGTACCATCCCATCCATGATACATTGATTGACTCCACTACGTTGAGCTTTCATCCTAGCTATGGATTTACCCCCTAAGCCATGACCACTTCGTAACATAAAACTAAGAAAAAAGAAATGTATTCAATGAGCACACCTGTTAGATGTCAACAAAGGAAAGCTGGGTGATTTTGCTTATAGTCAATTCCTTTCTTTTTTTTTGTGACGAACTTTGAGCAAAGGAAGGACATGTGCCAGTCATCTGCTATTCAGAGTGCAAAGCAGGGTGCAGTTTGGGCCAATTTACAGTGTATAAGCCGCGCTATCAGGAATGGGGGCCGAACAGTTTTTTCAAGTTTTGCATGCCCTCATACCTGACAATCGATTTTTTACAAATAAGAGGGGCTGATTTTCTGTAGCTATTGGCCCATCAATGGTGAATAGGATGGGATACAAGTATAAAAATCACATCATTGGTGGCTTACATGCGATCAAAAGAGGCCTTCCGTAAAAGTGCTGTAGAAAACCTCAGTGAGCTCATTATATGAGACAATGTGACACACTAATACAATAGACTTTCTTATAATTAATATTCTCAGTGTATATTCCTTTTTAATATTAGAGGTTATAAATTAGAATATCTCTAATAATTAATTCTCCAAAGGGACTATTTTAATTTTTTGAGAAAGTTACCTTAAATTGATAGAGAAGTTTGGGCTTTCCACAAATTCTCCAAAGGGACTATTTCAAATTAAATATTAGAGTTTGGCAGTATACTCATATTCTCCATTAAAAGTTAGAACAAATTTAATTTGGCACGCTCATTTCTTATTAGAAAGCATTCTAATAATATATCTTTTATTGCATTTTTCTATTTTGTATAAATTATTAGAAATTAGATTACAATGTAATGAGATTGGGTCCCACTAGGTATGATGAAGTATTATATGTCATTATTAGTTAGAACACAAAGCACGAGAGAATCTATGGTGTGTATATATTTTAAAATCGGTAGAGTACTTAGTTATTCATTCTTAATATGAACCATGGTCAATGGACTACGATACATGGTATTCCAAGGCTATACCCACCATCTTTTCCACAGACTAGGGGTAGCAATGGACCAGGACCCGACCCGGGACCCAACGTTTTCACTATTAGTTAGAACACAAAGAATGAGAGAATCTATGGCGCGTATATATTTTAAACCAGTAGAGCACTTAGATATTCATTTCTAATATGAAACATGGTCAATGGATTACAATACATGGTATTCCAAGGCTACACCCACCATCTATTCCACAGGCTAGGGGTGGCAATGGACCCAGACCTGACCCGGCACCGAACGGTTAGATCCGATTAGGGTCCGGGTATGGATCCAAAAATTGGACCCAGTGGATTGGGTTCGGGTCCAAAAACACCATTCAGGTCCAGGTCCAGGTCCAGGTCCAAGTCCATGTAGACCAGAACCAGACCCAACCCGAAAAGTGTTGACATTTAAATAAAATATAACTGTATATTTTTAGTTATAATATTTAAATAAGGGTGTGGTTTGTATAAGGCCGAGGCTCTAAACAATCAAAATAGGGCGCACTTTAAATAGTATCGAAATATGTTGTTTTAATATTAAAAATCTTTATGATGGCCTGAAAATTTATTTTCATCTCTTATAATAAAATTTAAAGTTAAAAAATAGTGTAGGCCTGAAAATTTATTTTCATCTCTTATAATAAATTTTAAAGTTAAAAATTAGTGTAGATTGAGCAGATCTATGAACACTTGAAAATCTTGAAAATTGACGGTCTAGATAATACATTACAAGATGCACTATTTTCAATACTTGAAAACTTTATTTTCTCATGTCCATACATCTTGAGGTTGAGATGATCGAATTGAGGGTTTTTCAGCATCGAAACCACCTTTTTGAATGAATTTTTCAGGTGCGACTAAATTTGATTGTTAGAGCCTCGCACTTATATAAATTTTTTCCTTTAAATAATGCATGTATATATTTAACAAATTTATGAAATATACTTAAATATATAAATATTTTAATTTTTGGATTGGGTCCGAGTCAGGTTCCCGTCCCACATTAAATTTTTGGATCCGGCCCGACCCATTGCCACCCCTAACATAGACCGATGGAGATTAATTGTACCCTGGCAAATGTCCTCTAGGGGTAAAGTTTATCTCCAACCATCCATCATCGGCAATTGGCAGGGAATGTATTCCAGAAGTACCATATAACACAATCATATATTATACTACATTGGACTATAGCAGACATTCCATACGCAAAAAGAGACAGAAATTTTACCAGTAAGCTGGCTCCCGGTGCCATGGATTATACCCTCCAGATTGACAGCCTGTCTTGGGCAATTGAGCAGGTTCGCCAACAGGGCAAGCAACTTTGGAGGGTTTCCCAAAACATGGCAATGAATTCACAGCAGCTCCAAGCAAGTCATCTTCTACAGAATCATTTCCATCATCATCTGAATGTAATTCTTGAATTGGTACTTCACTATTTTCCGTATCAGAAGAATTACCATCACTCTCTATGGCATTTTTTTCAGTAGGTATGCCATCAGGCGTAACTATATCTCGAGCACAACTATTTATGTTCTCACTGTCCTCTTGAGCACTCTCAGTTACATTCTCACCATCCTCTTTGACATCTTCAAAATGTTCAAAATCTTCATCACCAGACTCATTTTGTAGCATAGTATTCCTGTAAAACCATAACTTTCTCAGCAAAAACTCACTTCTGAAAATGAGAGACGCCAAAGGTAATGGCAGTAGATAAAAATGACCAAGCATATTGAGATGAAATTTAGCAGGTAGCCAATTTCTCTCAAACTCCTTACCATAGAGGTGGTCTTGCTTTAAGCACTTCCGAGAGAAGCAGAAGGCAACCGCAAGCATATTGTGGGGGTTGCTGAAGTGCAACCTGTTGATTGTAAAGAATATAAGGGAGCTTCAAACAGCTAGCAAAGCAATACCCATTGCCAAAAACTAAAAAGAATAATTACAGAGCATTTTCTGTGTACCTGCAAGAGACGTTTCGAAAATGCAGACACCCGCCTGAAGTTCACATCATTTTTCATTGCTTTGAAGACAAGCCCTAAGAACATTTCTGTCTGATAAGCAACACAAACAATGAGAGAGTTAGCTTAGCCAAGTAACAAATACATCTATCAACCAGAAGGAAATGCCTGAATTTTGGGAAAAGAGGATAAAGAGGCATTTTGGTAAACTCTGAATCATATTCCTGCACTTCGACCCATGTACATATCCAAACATGTATCTAATATTTTTAAAAAAAAAACATTTCCAGCTGGGCACCTTAGCATGGAACAGTTTCCATGACAGAGCTAGGTATCCCTGACTTTTAAGAAAAGTAACATCCTATGAATGGAAAGGCCACTGAAGGAAAAAAAGAAAAAGAAATAAGCTATCATAGCAAGTAAGAACAGATTACTTGATGAAGTGCCAAGAGAAAATATTTTTGCAATGACAGAGAAACAACATGAACAAAAATGAAACTCCGGTTCAAAACATCAAGGACAATTACCTTTGATGATTTCATACAAGCAGGCACCAACAGAGCTGAATACAAAGCACGATAAAAGCGGTCACTAACAGTCTGATTTTTAGCTAAAAGTTGATAAAGAAGCATCAATGCCTGAACCCCAATATTGAAATTCCTTGAATGAACCTGCACAGAAGATCAGTGTATGTTAAAGTTGGAGTGATAAGACAAACTACCCATTTTATTTAAAAGTATCGCAAATTTTTTTATTTTCAAGTACCATTGATTTTTTAATATGAAAAATATGTAATCATTTTTCCAAATACAATTTAAATTGGCGATCATCTTTCAGTTTACCAATTTAAAGAGAACTGGAGTCTGCTGCTCAATAATAGCATCGGCCTCATCAGTTGAAACATAGGGAAATGCCCTATTTACTCCCTGCAAGGAATGTAATCAAGCCCGTGTCATCCAAATAATCCAAAGAAATATTTTGACTGATAAATGAATGGATAGATGATTACTAGCCACACCCAGAACTTCACATATACTTATGAGGATCATGAAAGAGATGTAGGCTTATCAAGCTCTTATCTTTATTTATTATCCGAAGTAACAGTCCCATACATATAGGGCACAAAAAAATTAGAAGGCCATTAATTGAGAAACAAAATTTCCTACAATATTAAATCGAACATTGAAACTAGAAATCAAATAAAATATGCATCCATAAAATGTAGAACTACATCAAAAAAGAATATGATGAGCTGTGAAGTATTTTTTTGTAAAAACTTTTTATGCACCAAGGGAGTAAAATGTACATTTACTCCTTCAGGCAAGCAAGGAGTAGGATCCCAAATTTGGGGATATAACATACTCAACCTGACAACCAACCTAAAAAAATGAATACACACGTTAAGAAACAGAAAACATCCAATTCTTGGATGGCCAAATGTAGCTATTAAAGGACTCAAATTTCATTTTTAAGAAATACACGTGGTAATTCTGAAGTGCATCCCAAATTTTCATCGAGAAAATACTCCAACCCTATTGTCTTTTGCCCAAGGGAGCAAGTGTCATATCTAATACCAAAGGAGTATGCTATAAGTCGTCTCTTTTTAATGGAGGGCAGAGGGAGTGGGAAAGCTTTGTGAATTCATGCAGCGATTGATACTTACAGTTAGAAGGGCTGATAGAAGTCGCGAATCCATTTCAACAGGGGATTCAAAAGAAGGTTTTCCGTCCTTGCTATCTTTCTTCACAGACTTCTTGGCTGATTTATTACCATCCTTGTCAGATTTCTCTTCACTCACCTCTGAAATAAGAACCTGAAATCCAAACAAAATGACAATCAACAAAAACAAGAAAAATGGTATGATTTCCCATGAAAACTAATCTTCATTTACTCTGAGAAACCACCCCTGCCCTCAACAATAAGCACTACACCATTACAATGTATTTTTCACAATTTATTTGTGGATTGCAACAAATAAATCTTTCACGCTTCATCCATAATTGTTATATCATATTCATAACATGACTGCATACATCCTAGGGATTGACTAATCCAACCAAGAACATGGGTGGAATAATAAACAAATTGAGGGGTTGTAATGTTAGTAAGAATAAATATCAAATAATTTTTAAAAGTGGATTACTAAAATAACTCCAATGAAAATATAAAAAAAAACAACAAATTGAGACTTTAGTGATCCACCCAAAACATGGGATATTATAAACAATATTGCAATTTAGATAATATGTAATCTACGTAAGTCACATTATGCAATTTACCAAACTACATATCTCATGTAAACTACATCATATAAGATATATATCTTACATATGTCAATTACATATATTACATTACAAATTTATATTACATTATGCATAATTTGTATGTAACTTACATATAACAAGGTCCACAGGGCCCTAATACTAAGGCACTGGCCTGGCCACTCCCAATGGGCCCATGAAGGCTCCCCAACCCAGCCTATGTTCGGCAGGGCCTCCAGGCCCATCGGGTTGGTCCTGAGAGCATATAAGCAACACTACACAGCTAACCTTATTCATCCACAAAAAACATGAGATTTGCCTTAATTGAAACATGAAAACATCAAAGACATAATAGGAGGATCCAACATCAATACCTTAAAAAGAGCAAAGTATATATCAATTAAACGCTTTGCTAGTTTCGGTCCATCTCCCTTGTTGCTGAGAAGGACTTGATTCAAGAAGATAACCTGCAGCAGAAACAATCAAAATAGCCGGTAAATTTCAATATACAACTTTATTTAACCATGTGATGTGCCAGAAGCAGGAGAAGAAGCACATTGCTTCATCCAGCGAAGTTGTACAGGCAGGGTTTTACAGCAGGGAAAATTAATATTTTTCCAGAGAGAGGCATATAATGTATCACATGAAATTAGAGTAGGCATTCTTCATCAACTCCAAGCAATACAAATGTCACAAGAAAATCCTTACATTTACGTTTCAGGACCCGTTTGCTCAAAAGTATTTGTAGCATTTATGTTTCATTAGAATAGTTCAATAAGATTGTAGCATTTTGAAAATTGAATCCCATTTTCCCATTATTTCCACATCCGTAATGATGCGAAAAGAAGGCCCGGTTGTGGGTTGCTTTGGAATAGTTGAATAGTGGTTTTGAGTTTCTCGACCCTTTGACTAAGGATTAATCAGTTCAAAGTCTCGATGGGTGCAGCAAAGGGATATAACTCAGTGGTAGTGTGTCACCTTCACATGGACGAAGTCATCAGTTCGAGCATGATTATCCCTAAAGTCAATGCGAGCCTTTTGATTTTGACTTGCTACAACACTATTATCGAAGGAGAATGGATAAGTAGTACCCAAAGAGAAATTTTTTACAAAAAAAAAAAATTGGAATTTAATTCAACAATGGAAGGATCTTTCATTTGATTGGGGTTCAAAGAAGAATTTTTTTTTTTTAATCTTTATTTCTTTTTTTCCTTGTATCAAAAAATTCATAAAAGTGAACTATCTTCAAGAATTTTTTTTTCCCATTGTTCCTTGTATCAAAAAATCCATAAAAGTGAAATTATCTCCATGAATGTTATTTTTTTTTGGTTTTTCTTTTGTGGTGTTTTTTTTGGGGCCGTGCGGAACAGGGGCACTAGATGTCATAATGATCACTAAAAGACCTAAAAATGCAAATTTCTGGGACTTGTTATTACAGATTCCACAATCCTAAGCACCAAGTGTGTGCTACCATAGTACAAAACACAAGTAGATGCCCAAAGGATCATACTGATGAGTAGCCAGGAATATTTCATGCATATAGGTCATTAAAGAAAAAGGTAGGAGAAGTACAGAAGCAAGTACGCAAATCATAATTATAGTGATAGTGCCTTGCGTTTTAGTTGGGTGAATGTGAGTGCTTTATATCAATAACGAATTCATGTATATAGATTTAAGTAAGTAGATTTTAAACCAAGTTTGAAATGCATCTATTTATACAATTTTTAAAAAGAAGAAAACGTAAATACAGAAGTATTCAAACTGAAGTTATAGTGATAGTGCTTTGTTCTCAAAGACTTACAGCATGATATCTTGCTCGCAAACCCACATGCGGACGGAAGACAAAGAAATCTACCTCTTCAATCACAACGGCCTAAAAGATACAATATTATCATTCAACGGAGAGATCCAAAGTACCAGAAAAAATAATACAATGTATAAAAGAATCCATTAGTATGCACAAACATGTAAACTTGAACACTATACATGTGCTATTTTGGTAGGTCCTACTAATCCATCACCATCCATTTCAATGGATGACGATGACCGACCAGACCATGATATTTCCATGGCCCGTTTGATTATCAAATATGCCACCTAAATAATATTGCAGTTGATCTTATTGATCTCACAGTTTCCACATCAATTGAGATTGTAAGTCCATTTCCTTCATCAATATCAACATCTTTAGTAGGTGGCAAGGCGCATTATATCAGCTTCTTATCAATAACGACATCTGTTGATCAAGCTTTAAGGTCACCAGCATAGTTTCCAAAATCTTTGCCTATTTCAGGAATGCATTTAGAAAGTTCAAACATATTACAGCTAGATAAATATGAGTTTACCTTCATGTTTGGATGGGCAGACAAAAGACAAGTCAACTGATACCCAGCATTGGATGCCGCCTTCCTTTCAGGATCACCTAGCTGAATCAAATTTCATGTATAAAAAAAGAGAGCCCAAAATGAGAAACACACCACAAAGAATGCCTTATTGGCCTAGATTATTTTTGGGACATTCAAATTCCTTTCAAAACATTCAATCTCCTAACATGAACACTATCATGAAGATATAAACTTACTTTATTAACAAGAGCTGAAAGTAAACGGCGTTCTTGCTCTGGCTTGTTCTTAAGAAGAGCAAACAATGTCTGCAGAGTGATATGTCAATTAGTCAGCACTACAAATTATGAAGCTATTTCAACAATTATAGAATACAATAATAGCTGTTCACCCCCAAAAAAGAAATACAGTTCTAGACACTCTCTCTTTCTCTCTCTCTCTCTCTCACACACACACACACACACACTCACACACATACATAAACACACATTTGACAAGTATCATTTCATGGCTTAAGGGGCTTCTAGCACACCCTCAACTAAAGCGCACATCAGCCTTGAGCTGTTGGTTCGCACCCCACTAATCTACCCTAAAGATACTGTTTCATGGGAAACCAATGGCTTCTCACATCAAGTTGCACCAAATTGGAGATGTGCATATGGTCAGAAAAGATAAATTAGCAAAAAAAAAAAAAAAGAAAGGAGGGAAAATTTAAAGGGAAAAACTCTGAGACAGTGGGAGGATAGCCATGGTAAAGAACTCTCTGATCACTAAGTCGATCGCTTTTTCAATGCGCTACAATTTTAGTGTCAATCTGGTCTTTGTGGGTTGAATGTAACTCTCGAATCTTCAAGAGCAAGTAAAGGGGGTCAGATGCAGTGAAAGGGAAGGGGAAGATTAGATCCATGGATTTATTTTGGGCTTGCTATCATAAGAAGTTCTTTAACCTGCTATCGGAGTTTTGTTCTACCTTGGATTATTTTCAAAAGTGTGGTATAATCCGCAATTCCAGACCAATGGCAGTTTCTAGGTCAAGCCTATGATCGGCCCGTCCCCCAGGATCATAAAACTCACTTTGTAGGCAACCCAGGCATGTTGGATGTGGATGGTATTTTTAGAAACTAGGGGGGCTGTTGATTCTTACTCAGGTTCATTGAGATCACAGACTCATCCACTGCCCTTTTGGAGGGCCTGAAACTATTGCACCAAACTTGGGGTGTTACCCTTCAAGTGGAAAAGGGGATTCTAAGAATGTGCTCTATGGGCCTGAAATTTTGGTACTCTAACAATACACAACTCCTTCGCAAAAATATGGCGAGAAGTGAATTTGGTTGCTTTTGCCTCAGCAGAGTAAGGGCCTAGCAGCAATACCTTCGTAATTAATAGGCCTTCCTCTACGGCCCATTTGGGCACAATTTATGATATGTGCAAGTTTGCACATCTTCCCCTGCTATCAAAACAATATTCATGCTCAAAAAAGGACAAGAAAAAGTCATTTTCCCCACAAACAGGACAAGTGTCCAGGTTTTCTTCCACAAAGAGCAGCTGACTCTAATCTCACCAGTCACCTTATGATGACCTGAAAATATCCCCTTAAACCATGGGAGGGTCATCGGTAGATGCAAGACAAGTGAGAAGCACCAGTAACTGGAAAGGTCAAGTTACAAATCCCAAGAAACCCGAAAGTCACCATTTTAATCACACCTTAATGGTGTCTCACTACGACCCACCCCAAAAAGATCATGGTCAACAAACTAGTTATGATCAAAATGAATCTTCAATGTCCCAAACTGAGATCTGATGTATAAAGTCCAACAACACCCAAACATTCACTTCGTACAACTATCTTCCAGTCCAAAACATGGTCCTAAGTTTTGATACCTCGAAAATTCATGCAGAACAATGGGCCAAGAGATCAAAGATCTAGTCTAATGGCAAGTGCAAAAGGGCCCCTGAATATAAGGTTCTTCCTCCCTCTCCAAATGGCCCAAATGATGGCTAGTTGCGATCGTGTATTCTAAACAACCCACTGAACGCTAACAAGAAGTGCCACTAGTTGTAGCATCATCCAAGATATCCTAAATAATTCAAAGGCCTTGTAATCATAGTTGTGGGGATCATGGTCAGGGGGTTGCGAATGCCCCTTGGAATCTTGCTAGTGGTGATTTTGAAGCCAGAGACCAAGCGGAGCTCACTTCCCGCCATTTAAGGATCTCATTTACTACCTATAGGATCTCAGTCTCTAACAAAAAGGGAACTCAATCCTCAATTGAAAGGGATCTTAATCCCCATGGAAGGGGGATTAAGATCTCCAAAGAAAACGGGTGCATCGCTGATTTGAAGGGATCTCAATCCCGAGGGAGTTTCAAATTTCAAAATTTCAAACAAGCTGTATTAGACAGTCTTAATGTTTGTCTACATAACTACCACAAGTGGACAATCTTAGATTTTGTGTTGATTATTTGATTTGTAACGATTGTCTAGTTAACAAAACATGCCTAGAACCTGGCCCACCTGGAACCAGCGAGACAAATGGGGAGTCCCAAGGTGATCTCTCTTTCTTTCTTTTTTTTCAAGATTTTCGCATTTTTCTCATGTAGGCCAACTCATAGTTGTTGGGAACAAGAGGAAGTGCGGAAGCGAGAGCTTGGTATTGAAGCCTCTATCCTAGGAGTGTTGTTTTGGGAGTGGCCTAGGAGCGATCTTTGCTATGTAGTGGGGGTGCTTGGGAAAGCCCCTAGTGTGTGTGTGTAAGTGTCCGCACGAGTGTGCCTTTGTATTATATACACATGTTATTTTATTTGTTAAAAGTGATTTTAAAAATTAGAAAATGAATAATCATGTGCATCATCAATATTCCAAACACATGCACAATGAGAACTTCATAGCTAGAAAGTCCCATAAGAATTTTGAGAAAAGTGAGAGAAAGTAGGGTCATGATGGGAAATGAACATAGTTTTATAATTAAACCACTATAGTTTTTTATTTACATGGTTTCAATGCATATGCCATGGAGTCATTCCAAATTAAAACAAAAATTAAAAACATAAGCCCAAGATAGCATTGACCTCAATCTAGCGGATTGTCAATCTCTATCTCATCCCATGGGCAATTTTCTTTTCACTTCATCTCTTTCTCTTTTTTACAGACCCTAATCGAGCAGCTTATAGTCCTTGTGTCAAGTTTGAGTCGTCAATTTATTTCACTATAATAGTAGGTTGTTGAGTACGTTGCATGCGAATTACAAGTCAACTTATGGGAATTGGGATGCTCACCCTAACGACGACCAACTTGAGGATGATGAGGTAGTAATGGCATTAAATCCGTGACTTGACGCTGAAGATGATATGTCGGGCTTGTGCCTGCCACAAGGTTACCTTGTGGCCATCCATCAGATGCAACAACTTCTACTAGTATGATGTTATTGCCCATTCCACTAGCTAGCCACCTCCTCCACTTGCTCCCCCTTCTACTACTCAGCCACCACATCCGCCTGCACTTAAATCAGGTCCCTCTTCGTTTGTGGAACAAAGACTACAAGCTACTCTATTGGGGTCCTTGACAAAGAGAAAGAGATGATTAAAAAAAAAATTGCCCATGGGATGAGATAGAGATTGACAAAATGCCCAATTGAGGTCATTGCCATTTTAAGCTTTTATGTTCTTATTGTTTGTTTTCTTTTGGAATGCCTCACTAGCATGTGCACTAAAGGCATGTAAATGGAACACATTAGTGGCCTAATGATAAACAGATATTCAATTCCTATCATGCCCCTACTCATTTCTCTTGATTTTTTATTGGAATATCTAACAATGAAGCTCTCATTGTGCATGTGTTTGGAATATTGATAATGTTAAAACTATAGATTACTCATTTTTCTATGGCCACACACACGCACATCATGTACAAGCGAGCGCACGCACACATCCACACACACACGCAGACACACACACAATAGTGCTCCCCAAGCACTCCCATATATTCAACATACATGAAGTACATATGTCATGGAATCATTCCAGGCCATGCACACACACAATGGCACGCCCCAAGCACTCACATATAAATGAAGTACATGTATCAGGGATCACTCCCAGGCCGCACAAAGGCGCTACCCAAGCACTTCCATTTACATGAAGTACATATATCGAGGAATCATTTCTAGGCTGCACACACACACACAACAACAACAACAACACCACTCCTGTATACATGGGATCACTCCCAAGCCACTCCTTGAAAGGAGCTCCTAGCGTAGGGAGCTTGAGCTAGGGGTCGACCCCATGCTCCCCTTGCTGCACCTACTCCCACTCCCAACAAATACGATTCTAACTTATAAACTCATCTATAGAGGGCACGATGAAAGGATAGGCCCATTGCTACCAGTTCTCTCAGCAATGCACAGATGTTCAGGAATGGGAAGCTCCTACGGAACATTTTCCCCTTCTCAAGTTTTGCACATTTTCCCCTTACTTCTCAAGTTTTGCCTGTTTTTTCATCCGGTCTTTCTCCTTAAGATCTTTTAGCACCAGGACAAGTTATGGCACTTGAAAACATATTCTACATTACAAGAATTCAAACCAGTTTTGCCTGTTTTTTCAACAATGCACAGATGTTCAGGAATGGGAAGCTCCTACAGACCTTTTTCCCCTTACTTCTCAACTTTTGCCTGTTTTTTCATCTGGTCTTTCTCCTTAACATCTTTTAGCACCAGGACAAGTTGTGGCACTTGAAAACATATTCTACATTACAAGAATTCAAACTAAGGATTGAAACATATTTCGTAAAGCACTAAGCCCATTCAATGCGACAAAGATTTCATGATTTTTGTGCATCCTCCATACTATATTTACCGGAATTGTCCAACCTAGGTAGTGATTCCGGTTTGGAATTGCAATTCCGCTTATCCGGGATGGAATTGTCATAGATCCCAATTCTTAGAAGTTAGGAATCACAATTCCACTTTTTTTTAATCCCGTTTTGATGTCTTTGGAATCTAGATTCCACCTCAACAAAGTTTGTGTTTAATAGGTGCAGAAGACAATGATTCGACCAATATGAGACTTCACTTCCAATTTTTAGGGATAGTGATTAGAAATATTTGGAATCTAGATCCACAACATCAAAATGATTGCCAAAATTTTAAGAAACGTTTGGAATGTTTAAAAAATTATTTTAAATTTTTTGTTTTATTTGAGAAATTATTTTAAATTTTTTGTTAATTAAATTTTTTTATAATTAATATAGATCAGTATCTAGAAACTCTATCAGTGTGTCTACAAATTCTAGTTTACATCATTCAGAATATTTGAGAGGTTATAATAAATGACTTATTTTTAAAAATAGATTATTAATAAATAAAGTATTGTTATTTACTTTATTCAATCTAAAACTTATAGGAAAGTACTTAATTAAGGGTACTCAACCTTGTTACCAATACTTATGGAGAGCTGTTATAAACGGCCCTCAATGCATCCACTCCAGTGTTAAGGGAGGGCTGTCAAAGATATCGACTCCAATAATAAGCATATTCAATATATGGAGTCCGATACTAAGGAATTCTAGCTTAGAGATAATTTAGAACCTTAAACCTTTTTCCTTTTGGAACTCATTTCTTGATAATTTCCGGACTGGTTCCAAGTGGTTTTGTGTTTGATTCCTGAAAGTTAGGAATCTCGATTCCTATTGGATCAGAGCGTAGTTCCCAAATGGTAGCAATCTTGCATCGTGTGATATGCATTATAAGGATGGTGATTCCAACACTAGGAATCATCTAGCCACGAGGGATTTTGTGATTCTAATTCTTGAAACGATTTGAAGTCACAAGCGTTTCCAATAACTATATTCCATACAATTAAGTGTGAGAGACATGCATCATTATTAACTCAACAACTTCACGATCCTAGAAAGCCTCGCACGGAAAGGGCTTGATTCATTTTTCACATAACCGGAGACTACCTTCCTAGATGCTCAACAAATTATTGGAGGATGTTGACAATATGCTATCTATGTTATCTTATAATGCATAGAAACCTTATTTAGATAAGCAACTATCATGATTAAACGACAATGAAATTCAATCAATATTCAAATAAAAGATTGTCCTTCATTAAAAGAAAAAAAATATTGTTTATGTTTTAAAGTTGAGGGAAGAAACTCTTTAGCACAATCCATGAGGATGATTGATAAACAAAGATATCTAGAATATTTGATTTGAAAATTAACATAGTTAATAGTTTTGCTTCATCCAGAAAGTGTATGCTGGTCGGGTCTAAATAAAAACATATGCAGGCAGTCAAACATAACAAGATAGGACTACCAAAAGAAATAAAGAAAATCACAATGAACCAAATGATTGGTTACGTAAGTAGAAATCAGAGGCAACAGTAAGTTTACCTTCAAAGCTTTATCCTTAAGAACGGATAACACATCTTTAAGTGCTTCCTCTAGTGCAAGCACAAAGCGTTCAAACCTATAATCATAAACCAATGATCATGAAAGAGGAAAACAGACAAACATGGTTTACAAGATTAAAGAAACAAGGGAACTGATCATCTTTTTTTAAAAAAAATATTAAACAAATAAGGGCAGCAATTGCAACAATTGAAGAAAGGAAGCCTATACAAACAAACTTATCCATCCATAGCAGGTTTACTAAAAGCTGGCTAGGTCTATTGAAATAGCAACCAAGTTAATAAGAATGGTACTAGTCAACTTGTGTACCTCCACATGATACAAGTATTACCAGATCACCTAAACTCCAAGATTCTTCCCCTTTTCATTATCAATGATGCCAAAAAGACAAAAGGCCTTTCTCATATGCTTCAAAAACCCAAATACAGACTTCCATGGAGAAATATTTTAAGCAAATTATATAAAAAAGGCCTCGAATCCTCATGATGCCACTGGAAATTAACATTCAGATCTCACCATAGCCATCAGAATGACTCTATTCGTACAAATGTCAACCACCTAGTATGAATTGTTGCTCCTATAGTAAAACAGAAGACATGGTACGCTTAACCAGGAAGTACCTTTTCTTTAAGCAGTCCTCCCAATACCAAAATAGCAACAAGGAATATCCATCCTTTGTATCAGGCAAAAAATTCAATGGCTGCTGGAAGAAGTATTTCAGCTTTCGATCTGGCAACAAACTGACAACCAAAATTTGGATCAAGGCTTCACGATAGTAGTGTTTGCAACAGAATACCAAAATTTACAATAAAAACAAAGCAAATGGAAATCAAAAGTCTAAATGATGCTATAGAGTGTTTGATATAGCAAAACACTCAGGTGACGTAGGTTAATGACTGAGGGAGGAAGGACGTAGATCCTCCCAAACGTGCCGAGGGCTTCCTAGCCCAGAGTGACATACGTGCTGATTGCTAGTTCAGGCCCCTATCTTCGGAGGAAGCATAGGAACTACTTGCTGCTGGAATGAAGGAAGACGAAGCCAATCACTCCAGTCATGAAGGCCGCAGTGACCAAGGAACAGTGGGAAAGTCCCACTGGATGTTCATAGTGTATTGTAACGAGTCATTTGCTATTTTATGCACTGCATGACAATTAGTCGCCCCCAAGATTACAATGATAATTTTTTAGTTATATAAATTGCATATAGAGAGCTACGACCGCACACTACATATTCTAACATTTTTTCAGAACTGATCTTCCCTATGTTAGCACAATACGTTATGCTCCATAGTATTTTGCCCATACATCAATATCTCGTATCTAAGCTAGGTTTTGTTATCTCCTTCAAATTCATAGGTTTGCATTTGTGTGTCTCAGGTAATTTTTGGTTCCATGACATTGGTCTAGAGTTTTAATCTTCCTACCAAACAGCTCTAGTTGTAACTTACTTATTATGTCAGACACTCCATATTTCAATTATATTTTTAAAGGACTGCTGCATTGGTATGCATGATTTGTTCAAGAATCACATTCCAAATCCCTTCTTACCATTTGCAGTTTCGAATTTAAATCATTTTTGTTTCCGATCAGATATGATATCAAGATCAACCTCTTCTCTCAAACTCAGACACAAGCCACAAAGCAGAAATCCAATGGGAATTAATAGGATGATACAATCTCCGAGCTATAAGAAGTATATTTCATAATGTAATTTATGTTCCAATGATTTATTCGAAGAACATAAAAACAAGAACAATATGAAGTGACATAATTATTCATTCAAATGTTTCATTAATGAATTTATTGGAGCATAAATAATTTATCTAGAAACACATAGTAGAAATAAAATGGTCACAATACATAGATCATGTGACATTGATAATTTCCAATGTTTAAAAAGGCGGAGACGGTCGCCTAGGCAACAAAGGATCTGGGCCGCCTAGGCGGCCGCCCAGACACAAAGGCGGTCCTAAGGGAAATGGCGGGGGTGGGGGCCATATGTAGTTTTGTGCATCTGTGTTTTGTGAATGTGTGTGTGGATGTGTTCTGTGCGTGCATCTGCATGCGCACCTATGTGTGTGTGTGTATGTATTCTGTGCGTGCATATGCATGCGCACCTATGTGTGTGCATGAGGTCTCGTATGAAATTTTTAAAGATCCTCTTTTTTTCTTTTTCTTTTTTTTTTATGGACCTATATTTGTGAGAGAGAGGTCTCGAACACTAGCAGGATATGGAGAGAGAGAGAGAGCGAGAGAGAGAGAGAGAGAGAAAGAATCTGGGAGACAGAGGGATCTCACATTGAACACTTGGACGTCATCTTCTTCTTTTTCTTCTTTTTACATGTAAAGAGGGACCATATAGGTCCATGTGTATCTTTGTGTGTGTGTGTGTGACAGAGAGATAGAGAGAGCACATGGACCCAAGAGAGCGAGAGAGGAGCAATACCAAGCCTTATTTTTGTTTGGGTGGATTTGAATTTTTTTTACTGTTTTTTTTTTTGGACGCCAGCGTTAGGCATGCCCGCCAAGACCAGGCCGCCTAGGTGGCAAGGCAGACAAATTTTCATTCACTGATAATTTCACTAGAATTTTCATTTACTAGGTCGCAATAAGCAGGCATTCATACCTCATCAAGAATAATTCCCTTAATGCATCGATACCAGTCAGTGCATGACGCTTGCCCACCTTAGATGTCACCATTGCTGTAAAATACAAAACCTTATTAACAACCAAAGAGAAATACATGAAATCTTTTTCAGAAAAAAAATAGTTGCCAATAACAAATAAAACCCTTTTATACTTAAAAATCATAAACCCTTCCATACTAAGAAAAATAAAAAATATTTATTTCTAAATTTGGTTGCACATAAGATGGTAAAGAACCTGGTTGTCAGACAAGAAGCACAAACAAATCAAAACAAAAACTCCGACACAGCAAAAATGGACTATCAAAACAAATTCAAAATATAACAAGGGGGGTTATACAATCCTCCCTAAGGGGCAGATTGTAGCATGCCCCCAAGGGAGCATCCACCATCCAATCAGAATAGATCGAGAATACTGGACTAGGAGGATAAGTCATGCACACCCAGCTCAATCACTACCATCCAATTCTAATTGGAAGGACAAACCTAGTGTATATGCTATAATATGCCCTCTAAGGAATATAGCATAGTTTCCCATGTAAGACATGCATTCTGGTAGTAATGGCACAGCTGCAGCAAATAGAAGTACGCAGCAAAGAATGAAGCAAGCTAGAGAACTAGAAGAAGAATCAAACGCAGGTAAAAAAGAATGTACGTTATCCACGAAATATCCATGTCCCCTAACCCCATCAACTATTTTCTTATAAAGGCTGTTTAAAGAATAAACACAATAATAACTAGCAAAAAAATCACCCAAGTTATCAGGTCCTTTGATTTTATTTTGTAATTTTATTAATGGCATAGGTCTTTGTGACCATAAGGGCTCAACCTTGTTTTTGTAAATATTCCTTCTTACTACACTTAATTCTTTTGAAGAGCTTCTATGAAGAGCTAAACGCATATGCATGCGCATGTCCATAGCCCACGATCAAGGGCTATGGGCATAAAAGTGGCTTCTTATTTTCTTTTAATCTTCACTGACTATATTCAATGTTGCTGCTTGACTGCCAAAACGCCTAGGCGGCAACCCTAGAGGGTGAGCTCTTAGGCGCCGGCCTAGGCGCCTATATGCAACTTGGCCGAGGGAAGAAAAAAGCCCCTGGCTAAGGTCACAAAAGTACTTTTTCCCCCCAAAAAGGTGGGGTAAAGTTTTTGGGGAGGCATTCTAGGCCCCCAAAACCATATACACCTAGTGCCATCCCGTTTCTAAAAGCAAAATAACAAATAAATAAAAACATGTCCCCTTAGAAGAAAAAAATAATAATTAAGGCCTATAAACATGGTTAAGGCCCTTCTCTCTCTCTTGCTCATGAGCCCATGCACTCTCTCTCTACATATCAGAAGATAGCCTCCAAGTGTTCGATGCGAGGCCTCTCTCGTTCCCGCACACACAAACACATACATGGACCCATATGCTTTCTTTCTCATATAATAGGAAATAAAAGACGACGACCTCCACGTGTTCGATGTGATGCCCCCCTCTATCACAAACTTATATTCACTCAGTACATATAAGAAAAAGAAAAAGATGAACATGTCCTCCAAGTGTTTTGATGTGAGACGTCTTTATCACATACATTATATAAGATAAGAATAAAGATAAGAAAAAAGAAGATGAACTTTAAGTATTTGATGTGAGGCCTCGCATAAACACACACATTGGTGTGGTTTGCATAAGGTTGCAACCTGAAACAATCAAATTAAGGCACACCTGCAAACTTTGTCATAAGATGCAATTTTGGTGTCGAAAATCCTTCGGATGGCATGAGAATCTATTTTCCATCTCTAATTATGAAATTTTAAATTTTAAACTCCCTAAGTGGTTCAAATCACATAGATCTATAAATATATGAAAATCTTGAAAATAGACGGTCAAGATAATGTGATGCAAGATGTACTATTTTTGGGACTTCAAATATTTCTTTTCTCCATAGCCATACATCTCAATATCGAGATGATCAATTAGATGTTTTCCAACACCAAAACAACATTTTTTTTGAGGGATTTTTTAGGTGCGCCAGTGTATCAAAAAGCGTTAGGCGGACCTGGGCGGCTGCCCAGATGAAAAAAAATAAAAATCCCAACATACCATATTCCAACAATCCTACTTGAAAATAAAAAAAAATAGAAGTCGAGAAGAGAATTTTTATAATCCATATTGTTAAAACAGTAAACTGTAAAACCATACAAGTGATATAAAAGTCAACACCTAACACAACAGAAATATACAAAAATTTAGAAAATATACAATCTAATAAAAGTCAACAGTCATGACTCAACACAAGTTACACAATAGTCAACAGACTCAACACAACAGTCAACAGACTCAACACTCAACGATCAAAACCAAGAGGCAAGAGTCATCAATCATTATCATCAAAAGGAATATCAGTAGCGCAAGCTTCATCATATGCATTAGAGTCGAGGCCATCATCATTAGTGTCATCTTCCTCTTCAATATAACACTCATCCTCCTCTATTTCTTCTGAATCGGCCTCTTGCTCTTCTTCTTCTACCTTCCTCTTACTAGTATGCGTAGTCTGTGCAAATGAAGCCCTAGGAGTCTTGGCTGTTGTACCCTTCTTTTTGTGCTTCTCTGAACTCAAATATTGTATAATTTCCTCTTTGGTAGCCTCAGGAACATTTTTACACGGGGCAACATCCCCTGTAATACCGGCTTGGTGTTTTTTAAACCGGTAAATGCCCCCATTAGTATCATTTCCACAATAATTACATTTAATACGGTTTTTATCACTTGGATTCGGGATATAACCATACTTTCAACCCGGATCACCACTCCGACGACTAGAAGCTGGAGAAGATACTTCCATAGAACAAGGCTTATTTTCATCCCTTTTTTATTCTTCAAAATTCAAAAGATGTCTAATTTCATCTCGAACTGCTTCAAGAACCTTTGTACAAGAAGCAACATTACCTCTAACACCAGCAAGGTGTTTTTTGAATCGTCTAATACCCCCATTGGTAACTTTTTCACAAAAATTACACCTTATATAATTTTTATCATTTGGTTTTGAGTTATATCCATACTTCCAACGCTGATCGCTTTTTCTAGGAGTAACAAAAATAGATCTATGACAAGGATTTTGTTCTTGTTTTTGTTTTACATAACTTAAAAATTTCTTAATCTCCTCTCTGACAGCTTCAGAAACATTTTTACAAGGGGCAACATCCCCCTTAATACCGGTAAGATGTTTATTAAACCTGTTTATGCCTCCTTTTGTATCTTTTTCACAAAAATTGCATCTAACGCAAATTTTACCATTTGGATTTGGGTTGTATCCATATTTCCAGCCCGGATCTCCACTCCGACTAACTCCTGAAGAAGACATCTCAAAATAAAGCAAGCAATCTAAAAAATGCACTTACTTTGGTTTCTTGAACTCCAAACTTTGAGAAACAATTCGATGATCGATCCAATGAAAGGTAATTTTTTGGAGGGTTTTTTTAGTCTAAAAGGGCTTCTTGTGGGTTTAAGGTTCAAATGAACCTAAAAGCCATCGTTCTTAACCTTTAAATCTTTCAAAATAACAAAACAAAAAAAAAATCATTTTTTCTGCCTCTGAGCGGGGCGCAGGCCCTGGGCGGCCGCCCAGGGCTAGGTGCTAGGCGGCTGCCTAGGCGGGTTTCGTACGCCCAGGGACGGACCGCCCAGTTTTACCGCTTAGGCCTGGGCGATGCGCCCAGGCCTTCTGGACCGCCTAAGCGTTGGGGGGTCCGCTTTTTGAAACTATGAGGTGCGCCTTAATTTTTTAAAATGTCAAACTTTTTGAGGTGCACCTTAATTCACACACACATGCACACACACACACACCCAAAAAAAAAAGAAAAAACCAAGGGCACCACAGTATCAGCCTAGGAGGCCACCTAGGCTTGTTTTTTTTTCAAAGAACACATGGCAATTTGTATAGGTGCCTAGAGTGTAGAATCCGCAATTGCTATCCACTTTTGGTTCAAAAGTCGTATAAAGGGCTTTTCAGTAAGGCATTTAGAACATTCTAATACAACCTTCTAGCTCTTGGTAAATCTCTTTCTATCTTGATTAATCATTGTTGGTGACCCATCTCTATGAAGGGTGGTTGTCGTAATCATCATCATCATTATCCAAGCCTTATCCCAATCATTTGGGGTCGGCTACACGAATCATGTTCCACTATTCTGCTCTATCAAGGGCTATTCCCTCAATCAGACCATATGTCCTCTCTCTTCTCACTACTTCCATCTATGTCCTTTGGGTCTTCCCTTTCCCTGTTTAGAACTTTCTACTTGAACCAAATCACCTCTCCTAATTAGTGTCGTATTAGGTGTAAGTTGCACATGGCTACCCACCTAAGTTTATTTTCTCTCATCTTATGGTCTGTTGGAGCCACCCTAAATTCCCTCAAATGTCTTCATTCCGAATTCTAACCTCTCTTATATTGCCAGTTGCCACTCATCCATCTCAACATCCTCATCTCAGCTACATTCATCCTATGGATATGTGCTTTTTTTTACTGCACAACATTTCACTTCTCATAAAGCAGGGCTGGTCTTACAACAATCCTATAGAACTTTCCCTGCATTTCCATTAGTATGCGACGATCACACAAAACTCCAGATGCACATCTCCACTTCGCCCCAGCTCTAATTCTATGCACAACATGTTCCTCAATCTCTCTATTCTCCTAGATCATCAACCAAAGATATCGAAAGTAATCTGTTTTAGGTATTTATTGGGCATCAATATTAAGTTCTTAACTACTTCCTTGTTTCCACTCTTATTATTACTAAACATATATTTCATATATTTTGTCTTAGTTCAGCTAATTTAAAACCTTTATATTTTGGAGCATCCCTCCAAAGTTCTTTTCTGCCTCTAATCTCATCAATCAAAACTATGTCATCTGCAAACAACATACACCAAGGTATGTCATCCTATAGATGCATAATTACCTTTTTCATAACCAAAACAAAGAAACATGGGCTCAACGCTAACCCTTGAGATTGGCTTATTGTCACTAAAACCTCACTTGTTTCTCCACTAGTTGTCCTCATACTAA